TGTGATCGTCGTCCTGACTGCGACGTTAAATAATTCCTGAAGAGATGGGGGCGCTCTTAATAATCCTCTCGATCAGCCAGATCAACCGGGTGTAAGGCTCGTCGGCGTACGAGGGTAAATAAGAGTGTTGTGGCTGCTATGCTCAACGATGACTTGAGGCATAGGGGTGGGACCGGATTGCACACCTTTAGACACGCTGCTCAACCAGATGCTCAGGGACGTTGACACAAAGTGATTACTCAAGAAGGATACAGGGGGAGGGGGGATTCCRGTAACTGTTCGCAGTGGCAATCAACAGACAATCTGCCATCAAGCATACATCTCCAACAGGAGATGTTCTTCTTTGTTTTTATTATCTAGTTGTTACGGTCTTGCTGACAACTGACAGACAGCTATAGATAGATTARATCTTTGCTGTATTGCAATCTGTTCCAGGGTAATCTAAAAATAGAGGTAATATATCCTATAGGACCTGRCATTAGTTGTAACTATATCACCCGACTGTTTTGTCCCATCCGACCGAAAGTAGTTGTGTTTCATAATCGATTGTGTGTCAAGCTAAGGTAGGATTTAGATCACACAGACTATAGCTCATGAGTGATGCAACCACAAGTGAGGAGGAGCTACTAGTGGACGACCGTAGGACTACTCGCGGGACTGCTCGCAGTCGACCCTTGACATTCCTGGAGTTAGGTCCAGGAGACGAGAGAAGATTGAGGAGAGAGGCTAGAGAGAGGGCAGCGGCAAGGAGAGCGAGGGCAGCTGAGGAGAGTGATAGAGCTAGAATTACAGCTAGCATCAGTACAACCATGGCTACCTCATCTATGACGCAATCCTCTACACAGCCCACTTCGTCAGGAGTCAGTTAGAGTGGTACTCAGGCAGCCACTAGTCAGATTGGTCATGTGCGAGTCACCCAATCTCCTATCACGCCAGAGGACTTCGAAATACGGCAAGCAGAAGAACTTCAGGATGAGCTACAGCGGCAGATGGACGAAGTAGTATAGAGGAGAAGGAAAGCTATGCAAAGAAAAGCTAGACTAGAGAGTAGAGCTAAGGAGCTAGGCAGACTGGAAAGACTGGATGCGTCAATATTGGATCCTGCTCTTCGTGTGTTGCGAGGAGCCTTACTTTCAGTAGCGGAAGCGCAAAGCGTCCAGCAGGAATTGTTGGCTGATTTGGTAGCAGGCCAGAAACAAATTCTGGCTGAACTTCAGGGCACTCGCACAATGGTGAGGCAGTCGCCGTTTGCTATAGTTCCCCCTGTAGGTGCGGGTCCATCATCGATGCCGCAATGCACAGGGCAAACTTTATCTCCCATGTTTGGCATACCCTCCCCGGGTGGTTTAGTAGCAACTAGTGGTCCGGTTCATTCAGTCTCAGTCGTACCATCTACAACAGTGGTCAC